TTGTTATTTCATTATTCTGTTCCAGTGTCAAACAAAAAACAGATTTTGACCTCTATTTCCAAAATTGAACTTAAAGTTTAATCAATCAAAAAACAAACATTGTGCCTATTTTAATGTTGAATGTTGTTTATTCTCTCTGATTTATTTGCCCCAGAAGTTCTGCTGCTAGAAGGATTTACCTTTAGCGGACAAACACGTCGTCTACTTTTATAACGACACATTTACTTTCACGTCTTAGGGAAAGTAACTATTGAACTCCATGAAGAGAAACAGGAAACAGAGATAAGCTTTACTTTGTTCAGCTGACAATGAATTCACATGTGGCTGAACTTACGGGGCAAATAAACCAGAGAGAAAATATCTAAATTGAAATAGGCACAATGACTGTTTTTCATTAATCAGGCTGGTGCTACTTAATGCCTCCACTCAATTTCATTTCTCTCCAGCGACTAGGTCAGGAGTCAGAATACACTAGATCAGGGGTGGGCAAACTTTTTGGCTCAGGGGCCACATAGGATTCTAAAATTTGACTGAAGGGCCGGACAGGAGACAGGCCATGACGTGTTAAGAGCCCGGCTCCACTGCACTCATATATATGCTCATATAAGACGTATTCGGCACTACGCGCTCTTTCAGACACATACGTTTCTGAATTTAAGTATAGTGAATGAGATCTGCTAAACCGCACACCACAGGCGAACGTGAATCCTGAGCACTTAGATCTTATTGAGATACAGCCCATACCACAAAGTTACGCACGTCAACACATGCAGTAAAGCCAAACCCTTAAAACATTCCATGTGTTGATATTTGTAACACAACATCTATAAGTCTTTAGAGTCTTTAGAGTTTGCCTCATCGTGGTAACAGTGCAGTCTTATGTCTTGAACACTTCTACCGCACTCATGGTCCAAATACGCTGTCCGAAAATGAACACTTTCCCATAAATCATTGCGGCCAACATAATACAATGTATATATAGTGCACCATCTACTGGGAAATGCCGGAAATGCAGGAAAAATAAAACTCCAACAAGGTTTATTATTGCAATTTATTCAAGTTCGGCAGGCCAGATTAAAAGGTTTAAAGGGCCGCATATGGCCTCCGGGCCGTAGTTTGCCCACCCCTGCACTAGACGGTTTGCAAAAACCCTGGAAGTGCGAGTTCGGGCATCAGCCAATCAGCATACATTCTGTGTTATCAACGATTCCCGAGATCAAGGATTTAAAGCTGGAATAAAGAGAATGTTTGGAGAAGGGGGATCAAGGGGAAAGACGTTATTGTCCTTCTTCCTACAGGATTTGGGAAACGCTTAATATACCAGTTAGCCTCGTTAGCGGACACATAACATACGTGACTACCAAATAGCAGCGATTGGTTAAATGATAAAAAGTACCCGCCTACCGTCGAGTGAACGAATCCTAATGCTGCGAGATCAGATGGTTTCTATGAAGTGAAACCAGCTGATGAAGCAGGCTAGTTTTTTGATTGGTATTATTTGAAATAAACTTGAAATGAAATATTGGAAATAGAGGTCAAATTTTTTTTTTGACCTTTTTTTGACAGAAAAAATGAAATAACAAACTGTTTTCACACTTCACTGTATTTAGTTTTTAATTGAAATTCAAAAGAACGAATGATACACGGACCATGCAGAGCGAGTTAATGCAAACATTTTAAGACCAAAACGACGAGGCTCACAGCACCAATTACAGAGAGATGGGCCACAATTTTTCAACCTAAAGTGATTTGGAGGAAGAAAAAGAAAATGCCTTTAGAACTGCTTAAAGATTGTGGGGAAAAGTAAAAGATGATGAAAGGAAATGATGATGATGATGATGAAAATAATATTGGTTAGGTATAGTGACTGAGAGTGTTTATTAAAAATGGGGGGAGAAAAGAGAAAAGGAAATTATCTTGGAATCTTTATTCTTGGTTCTATGCCAAAGTTATAAACTTTGTTTTAATTTTACTGCTGCAAATGCATTATCAGCGCCTGTGGAGCACTCTGCAATCCTGCCGGAGAAGTGAAAGAATGTTTTGTTGTTTAATGTTGTAGGTATTGTCTTTTTTTGTGTGTGTCTTGATTTTATGTTTATTACTGTATTTAGGGTTATATTATATTATATTGCCTTAATACATTAATTTTATTTATTTATTTATTTTTTCAGGTTAATTGGTCGATGGAGCTGGTGTCGATTTGAGCTCCCGAGGCAGAAGTGGAGTAAGAAGTAATATTTTAAAAGTGAATTGTTTTTTTGTCTGTTTTGACCAGTTAAGCAATGACATGTGCAGGTTAGATTTGTAGCAGGATATCTACGTTAGATGATTGAATATTTGATTTTATTGTTATCATTTTCATTACATCATTTTATTTTGTTTCCATGTGTAGAAAACGCTGTATAAATCAAATCTCACTGTATCATAATAACCTTTGATATGAGTGTTAAATATGATGTATTTAATGCTATTTAATATAAAGATTTCAGTGTTTCCTGTCAGTTCTTTCTCTTCTATAGTTAGAGTCTTATTTGATAGAAGATATCAGGCTGTGGAAATGAGATCCTCTGCTCAAATTCATCTAAATGAGTGAATAATGGTGATTCTACAGTGGGAGCATTATTTGATGGATAAATTGTCCTGTTGTTATGTGCTCCTTTTAGTCGGAGCCTATTTGAGAAGAGTACGACTGTCCAAATGAACCACACAGATTCATACAAATGATGTGTGAAAACAATAATGTGCAAACAACATCAAACCCACGTCTCTAATCCAAAGAAACATGTTGTCAAACTGCAGAGGTCAGAGTTTGGTTTTATTGGATCTATACTGTAAACTTGAAAAAATGTAAGGTGGCTTATTTCAATGGGATAGTGTAAATCGATAGACGTCACTGTCGATTTAGGCTGCTGGGAGCTCATTCCGACGGGGCAGCCTATTTCGACAGAACACTGGAAGCGCACCCATGCTTACTCTATTTGGAATGTGGTGGCTAGAGGGTTACCTATGTCCATTTAAAGCCCCGGGGTTTCAAAATGCCCGTCCATTCAAGTCAATGGGCCGAGCTCAATGGTGCATGATCCCAGATTCTCCTTTAGCCCGGTGAGGTACTTCCGGTGGCTGTGGGCCGACCGAGCATGCGCAGGAGTGCAATTTTCTCCCGCGGGCACACGCCAATGCACATGAACACACACACAGAGCAAGGCCTCGTGTATCATGTGATCGCTTTGACCAATCAGAGCGAGAGGAGCAGAGCGGAGCCAGAGAGAACGATTATAAAGTGACAACTGAAGGATTTTGAGCTGGGAAAAAGTTTATGATCTAAAAAGAGGTAAAAATTCAACACACACTTAACTCATTTTCAATACTCAAATTAAACAGTAATAATACAGGTCAACAATAAATCATCCGCATAGCCTGTTTATCCCCCCCACTCCCCAGTGCACACACACACACTCATACACACACATACACTCATACACACACACACACACACTCATACACACACATACACTCATACACACACATACACTCATGCACACACATACACTCATGCACACACATACACATACACACATACACACACACACTCATGCACACACACCCCAACATGCACACACATACACTCATGCACACACATACACTCATACACACACATACATACACTCATACACACACATACACTCATGCACACACACACACACACTCATGCACACACACCCCAACATGCACACACACATACACTCATGCACACACACCCCAACATGCACACACACACACACTCATGCACACACATACACTCATGCACACACATACACACACATGCACACACACACACACACACTCATGCACACACACACATATGCATATGCACACAAGCACACACCCACACCCACGCACACATGTGCACATGTACACACATGCACACACATACACATATGCACACACACGCATATGCACACACACGCATATGCACACACACACGCATATGCACACACACACACGCACACACACGCATATGCACTCACGCACACACACACGCATATGCACACACGCACACGCTCACACCCACACACACACACAAACACATGCACATATGCACACATACGCATATGCACACACACACGCACACACACGCATATGCACACACACACGCAACACACACGCACACACACGCATATGCACACACACACACGCATATGCACACACACACACGCACACACATCGTACACACTAGAGATGCACGGATTGCGGTTACAACCGTGGACTCCGCGGCTAAACCTCGGGTCGGGCGGATGATGTGACGAAAAATAATATTTTAATTAAATTTGGGCGGGTGGTGGATTCACTACTCAAATAAAACTCTGAACTTGGAGCAAATGGGAGGGGACCGAGCGGATGGCGGGTGGCTGCGGTTTTGAAAAACTGTGGTTGCAAATGGATAGCGGGCGGATGATGAGTTTTGCGATGTGGTTGCGGATGAAAAAGTAGCCCATCCGTGCATCTCTAGTACACACACGCACGCATATGCACACACACAGACACACATATACAGTAAGGTTCACACTGTCACCAACCCCTGTCACCTTTGTCTCTATTTGTATGTAATCTTCAATCGTAGTGTCTGTCTTGTATCTTGTATAATCTATGTAGTTTGCAAATGAATAAAAAAATTATAATAATAAAATAATAAATAAATAAATATATAAAAATAGGTAAAAATCGCCACAAAATCCAACATTTTGGAAAGTTGTAGGTGCCCTGTCAGACGAACACGAGCAGTTTGTGTTTATATTGCCTCTATGAGAAAAATCTTGTGTCAGCCCAGGGGATTATTTCTGCTGAAGTTCCAGTGAGTGCTCACTACATCAACTGGAAGCAGCTACAAGCAGCAACACCCTATGCAGTTATTTTAATAGCTCCATAGTCCATTTCTACGTCCAGTTTACGCTTGGAGCAGGAAGTGACATCACACATAACTCTCCACACTGTAAACGTACCGTGACTGTTGCAGCGAGCCGTCTCCACCAGCCTGTTGTCCTGGTCGTAGCACACCATGGCCTGGTAGCGGTATCCCTGGCCGCACTCCTTGACCTCCGCTTGACCCTTTGCCCCTGGCCCCGCGGCGACCTCCAGCTGACCCCTGACCCCTGACACCGGCGAACCCTCGGGCAGGATGCAGTCGGACCAGTTGCCCACGGGCTGGGCGTTGTACTTGTCGCAGGGGCAGTACTGCGTCTCGCTCAGGGGGTACATCTGCGTGTTCTTACATTTGTCCTTCTTCTTACTGCGACCTGAGGAAGAGGAAGAGAGAAATACTCGTTCACTTTGAAGTCGGCTCCGGTTTTGGAAGTCAAATTTCCATTCATTTTTCCCATAGACCTTTCAAAAAAATATTAAGAGTTCAAAGGCATCCCGGAGGCTACCCAGCTCCACGATAACTGATATTCATAAAAGAGTCCGTCACCTGCTTGTTTTGTATGGAAATGTCATTATTCTGCCTGGAATGTTCCACAGTGTGACATTAAACAGCTCTACTTTACTTTATTCAATTACAGGTGGTTTTATAGCTCAAAAATACACAGCAAAAAGTGGAGTGTTAAAACTGACTCCCACAGAATCAATTTGAACATTTTCTCAGGGTTTATATGAGTCCAAACTGTTCTAGAGTTACTTAAGTAACACTGGACCAAAGTTCTTGTTTAACCCTGAAATCAAGAGTTATATTAATGTTTTGAGAGTAAATGGATAACACTTTGTAGGGTTATCCTGATTTAGCTAAGCAACACACATCAGTGTTTTATTTTTACGCTTTATTTGAGTTAATTTAAGATGAAATTATGTACAAAACTGGTTCAAACTGGTCTTCTCTCATGGGAGTTTGAAGTGATGGAAGGGGCCAAATTAACACTAGGGGAAGTTGAATGAACACTAAGGGAAGTTGAATTTACACTAAGGGAAGAATTAACTTTAACCATATCAACTCTGCAACCAACTTGAACTTGAACTTGAATAACCCTAACTCAAACCCCCATTTAACTTTCAAATAGTTCAAATAACACTTTTTTTGTATTAAAAACAACTCTGAAATATTTTCCAGAAAAAAAATAAGCATCTTTAAACTGTACTTTCGCCTCTCCACACATCTGACCTGTAACTTGGTCTGGTTTGGTCTCTATGGAGATAGAAAGGTTTAATGCCATACTGTGAAACATTCCAGACAAAGCAACAACATCTCTGTGGAGAAAAGCATTTGACGGACCCTCCACCAGAAAAGTTACATAATGCACTTCTAAGTCCAAGACTAGATGAAATACTTTAATAACTTGAGCAGTTTATAAGTTTCACAAACAGATTTGAAATCAAATGTTAGGTCTTGTTGTCATTAAATACATTATATACAGAGCTGATTAACCCTGAGCTTTCAAACGGTTAATACATTTTTGTTCATGGGAAAAATGAATAAGAAATCTACTTCCAGAACCAGGGAGCACGCACTGCTGAGCTCCATATGTGCTCCCTAAACTGCATTTTCATTTCATTTGGAGGGAGTATCTGTTCTTGAACTTTGTGTTGCAACATTGTAATTTCCCCATTGTTGGACAAATAAAAGTTTATCTTAACTTTAAAAGTGTATACTGCGTCTAAATGATGGAAACCGACAGGGGTCACAACAAACGCAAATGCCGCAACAAATACAAATGCAACAACACAACAAAAAGCCACAACACAACCAAAAAAAGCCACAACAAACCAAAAAAAGCCACAACAAACCAAAAAAAGCCACAAAAGAAATGACCGCAGGATTCTATTTTAATACAAACGGCACAACACAAATGCAAATGCCGCAACACATTAAAAAGCCACATCAAAAAGCCACAACACATCAAAAAGCCACAACACATCAAAAAGCCACAACACATCAAAAAGCCACAACACATCAAAAAGCCACAACACATCAAAAGGCCACAACGGAAGTGACCGCGGGACTCTATTTTCCGACGGACCGATCAAGCTGGAAGTGAAAAAGAAGAACTACAACTTGAAAAGTAAAGGAACAGAGAAGTTGGAAATGTAAGTAAAAGTAATTTATTGTTTTATCATTATTCGTTTCAAGTTGTAGTTCTTCTTCTTCACTTGCCGCTTGATCGGTCCGTCGGAAAATAGAGTCCCGCTGTCACTTCCGTTGTGGCTTTTTGATGTGTTGTGGCTTTTTAATGTGTTGTGGCATTTGCGTTTGTGTTGTGGTGTTTGTATTTGTTGTGGCGTTTGCATTAAAATAGAGTCCCGCGGTCATTTCCGTTGTGGCTTTTTTTTGGTTTGTTGTGGCTTTTTGTTGTGTTGTTGTGGCTTTTTGTTGTGTTGTCGCATTTGTATTTGTTGCGGCGTTTGCGTTTGTTGTGACCCCTCTCAGCGTCCATATAAAATGGCTTGATAAAACTGCATTGTTGGCCTGATAGCTCCACCTGTTGTTTATATGGAGATAAAAAATACAGTAGGTTTGGTGCCGTACAGCAGAACACACACAGCAAGAAGTTCTCCATGGAGACAACCAGATGCTGTACCCTTCATCAAAAAATGTACACAGTGCATCTTTAATCTGTACTTTATGCAGTAGCAGTACAAAATAGTGCCTCTGTGTATTATTGGGATGGAGTGACAGTGACATTTTCTCTATACCTCACTGAGTCACACAAGTCTCTGGAAGAGAATTTGTTCCATTAGACTTTGAATTTCAAACTTTGAATTTTTTAACTCTGAAAAAATATCTTGGCATCCTGAATCTTTCCTGGGAATTTTTTTTTTTCACTACAACTTGTACACACTGAATTTAGACAGTTGAATTTAGACAGTCTGAATTTAGACAGTTGAATTTAGACTGTTGAATTTAGAATTTAGACAGTCTGAATTTAGACTGTTGAATTTAAACTGTTGAATTTAGAAAGTTGAATTTAGACAGTCTGAATTTAGACAGTTGAATTTAGACTGTTGAATTTAGAAAGTTGAATTTAGACAGTCTGAATTTAGACTGTTGAATTTAAACTGTTGAATTTAGGAAGTTGAATTTAGAGAGTCTGAATTTAGACAGTTGAATTTTAGGGCTTGAAAATATTTGTGCTGAATATTTAAGAGGTGTTTTTTTTTATATTGAATTTTAAACATTTTGAAAACATATACTTAAAATAACATTTAAAATTCAAAATCTGATGAAACTAATTATCTTTCACACAAGTCTTTCTCCACACCAAGTCCAGGTTTAGTCTTGGTTTAGTCCTGGTTTAGTTCTGGTTTAGTCCTGGCAACTACACAATACTTCCTCGTGCCCCTCTCCGTCCAAAAACCCACACACACTTCTGCGGTAAAAGCCTCACTTGTGCTCTGCTTCCTCCTCCTCTCTCCACACCTCAAAGCCCTCTTACAACTTGGTTTATACTAGGTTTAGTCCTGGTTTAATCCTGGTTTAGTTCTGGGTTAGGTCCTGATTTAGTGCTGGTTTAGTCCTTGTTTACTATTGGCACTCTCTCTCACCAATTCTCACCATCCAAAACCCTCTTGGTTTAGTCCTGAATTAGTCCGAGTTTAATTTTGTTAAATCTTGGTTTATTCCTGGTTCGAACCTGTAGTTATAGTTTAGACCTTATTCTGGTTCAGTTTTTGTTTTGAGCTGATTTACATGTAGTTTAGTCTTGCTCGTACCCTTTTAATCCTGATTCAGTCCTGTTTGAGTCCTGGCAAACACACACGCTTATCCCTCGTGCTTCTCTCCATCCAAAATGCACACACACACTCACACAGACTTACACACTCACACATTTCTACACGAAAAGCTCCACTTGCGCTGTGCTCCCTCCTGCACCTATCCTCACCATCCAAAGCCTGTATGGACTTGGTTTAGTCCTGGTTTATCCTGGTTTAGTCCTACTTTAGTTCTGGTTTATGTCTGATTTAATCCTGGTTTAGTCTCAGTTTAATGCTGGTTTGCTTCTGGTTTAGACCTACTTTAGTCCCAGTTTAGTCCTAGTTTAGTCCTGGTTTAATCCTGGTTTAGTCCTTGTTAGTTCTCGGTACAACATCGTGTAGTTTTACTCTTGGTTTACTTCTGGGTTAGTCCTGGTTTAGTCCTAGTTTAGTCCTGGTTTAATCCTGGTTTGGTCCTAGTTTAGTTCTGGTTTAATCCTGGTTTGGTCCTAGTTTAGTTTAATCCTGGTTTGGTCCCAGTTAGTTCTGGGTAGAACAGTGTGTAGTGTTTGTTTAGAAGTGATTGATACCCATTTTAGTCTTGGTTTACTCCTGGTTTAGTCCTGGTTTAGTCTTGGTTTAGTCTTGGTTTAGTCCTGGTTTAGTCTTGGTTTAGTCTTGTCTTAGTCCTGGTTTAGTCTTGGTTTAGTCTTGGTTTAGTCCTGGTTTACTCCTGGTTTAGTCTTGGGTTATTCCTGGTTTAGTACTTGGTTTAGTCTTGGTTTAGTACTGGTTTAGTCCTGGTTTAGTCTTGGTTTAGTCCTGGTTTAGTCTTGGTTTAGTCCTGGTTTAGTCCTGGTTTAGTCCTGGTTTAGTTTTGGTTTTGTCCTGGTTTAGTCCTGGTTTAGATCTGGTTTAGTCCTGGTTTAGCCTCGGTTTAGTCTTGGTTTAGTCTTGATTTAGTCCTGGTTTAGTCTCGGTTTAGTCCTGATTTAATCTTGGTTTAGTTCTGGTTTAGTCTTGGTTTAGTCCTGGTTTAGTCCTGGTTTAGTCTTGGTTTAGTCCTGGTTTAGTCCTGGTTTAGTTTTTAGTCCTGGTTTAGTCCTGGTTGGTTTAGTCTTGGTTTAGTCCTGGTTTAGTCCTGGTTTAGTCCTGGTTTAGTCCTGGTTTAGTCTTGGTTTAGTCTTGGTTTAGTCCTGGTTAGAATCCGTAGTCTGTGTTTAGAAGACATAGCAGTTTAGTTTTGGCAACCACACACTTGAGTATTAAAAGCTCCACTTGTCCTCACCACCTCCCCCCCTCCCCTCCTCCCCTCTTGCCCGTTCCTCCCCCTCCTCCCCGTCCTCACCCATCACCCCGTCACCCCCTCATCCCCTCACCCCCCCTCCTCACCTATCAGGGCCCTCTTCCGGGAGCGCACCCCCGCGCAGTCGGCCGTGCAGGGGGAGAACTTGGACCAGGGGCCGAGCTGGCAGTCGTCCTGGCAGGGCAGCAGGCAGCGCTGGGTGGAGGGGGGCATGGAGCGCGCCCACCTCAGGCACTGGCCCACGTCCGCCTGGGCACCGTCCAGCTGCCGGCATGACACCGCTGTGGGGGGACAGGAGGGAGGGGGGTCAGTGACAGGTGCGAGACGGTGCAAAGGAGTCAAAAAGTGAATTAGTTCTGGTTTCCACATTTTTAACACGGTAAAAAATCTGTGAAAAATCAACGTCTTTAATGATTTAAATGGAGTGTCTCAGTGTGAAGCATTAAACTGAATCATTCGTTCATTAGTTTTTCAATATAAAACCAAAAATAAGAAAACGAAAAAACAACTGTTCTTTATATGTTCGTTATTTGTCTCCAAAACCAAAATGAAAAAACGGATAACGATTCGTTTTTTCAGTTTTCGATTTTGTGTTTAAATGAAAAATGGAAAAAACGGATAACGGACGTGTCCCGTTTACGTCACTTCCGCGAACTTTTACACTGCATACGGACTGAACTAAGACTGATCCATCAGAGACCACACCGGGACCAGAACGGGACCAGACCAGGACCAGACCAGGAGCTGAGCGGGATTAGACCGGGACCAGAGCAGGACTGAGACCGAGACCAGACTGAGACCAGCCTGAGACTGAGATCAGAACTGAGATCGGGACCAGACCGAGACTGAGACTGAGACCAGACCAGAACCAGGCCGGGACTCAGACCGGGACTCAGACCGAGACCAGACCGGGACCAGACCGGAGGCTCAGAGCCCATGGCAGGGCAGAGTTCGAAGCTGAGGCTCGGACCACGCAGAGGCTCGGAGTCAAAGCTCGGAGTCCACCCTGGTCCTGGTCTAGTCCCGGTCTGGTCCTATTCTGGTCCCGGTTTGGTCCCGCTCTAGTCCCGGACCTGGATCAGTCCTGGTTCAGTCCATATGCAGCGCAAAATTTCGGCATCGCAGTCAAGGGAGTCACGTAAACGGGAAACAGTCGTTATGTTTTTTTTTCCATTTTTCATTTAAACACAAAATTTAAAACTGAAAAAATTAATCATTATCCATTTTTTATTTTTGGTTTTGGAGACAAATAATGAAGAAAACTGTTGTTTTTTCATTTTCTTATTTTTGGTTTTATATTGAAAAAGTAATGAACGAATGATACACGGATTAAACTGGAATCTTTGTTGCATTTATTGGTAAATAGTCAGATTTTTATACAGCAGTTTTCCATCTTCACAGCTCAGAGCACTTTACAACAGGAACCACTCACCCATTCACACACGCGTGTACACAAACCCTGACCAGAGCTGCCCCCAGGGACCCCAGGAATCAAATAAATAAAAGTCTCATATAAAAATGATATTAGAATATTATAACTGTAAAAAAAAAAAAAAGAGTGTGACTTTGTGCCTGGCGCTCAGCTGAAAACTCTAACTAGAGGTGGAGATAGGTTCATGAATGAATAGATGTGTGACTGTGACTGTGTGAGTGTGTCTGAAGTGAAAGGTAAATGTGAGTCTTCATAATGTGCCTTTTATAATGTGGCCTATGTGGAGCTGTAATGACCTGAGCAGAGCCGCAGCCTCAGGAGATTGGATTCTTATGAAGCTGCTCATCATCATCGCACACACCACCAAAATCTATAACAGCCCTTTGTCATTTTAAATACTGTGACAGTGTGTGCGCGGACACTTTAAATACTGTGACAGTGTGTGCACGGACATTTTAAATACTGTGACAGTGTGTGCGCGGACACTTTAAATACTGTGACAGTGTGTGCAGAGACACTTTAAATACTGTGACAGTGTGTGCGCGGACACTTTAAATACTGTGACAGTGTGTGTGCAGAGACACTTTAAATACTGTGACAGTGTGTGCACGGACACTTTAAATACTGTGACAGTGTGTGCACGGACACTTTAAATACTGTGACAGTGTGACAGTGTGTGCGCGGACACTTTAAATACTGTGACAGTGTGTGCACAGTGTGACAGTGTGTGTGCAGAGACACTTTAAATACTGTGACAGTGTGTGCAGAGACACTTTAAATACTGTGACAGTGTGTGCACAGACACTTTAAATACTGTGACAGTGTGTGCACAGACATTGTGAGGGGCAGGTGCTCAATCAAGAAGTAGGGCCTTTTTTTCATAAAACAAACTTCTCCACATTTTTTTAAGTGAGCAAATATGATTGTGCTCCTTTTAGGAGTGCATCTGCTGAAATCTTAGTAGCAAAAAGGAGACAGGCGTGGGGTTCTCCACAGGGGATTTTTAATAAAATAAATATAATTTCCTGCCCCCTAGTGAGTTTTTGTGAAGATCTTATATTTTGGCAGTCTGACACAGATCCTCCTTCCTCAGTTGTTCATTAGGCCATAATATGTCCTACTTTTACAGCAGACTTCTCATTAACTTCCATTTTATAAATACTGATCTTGTGTCTAAGGCTACATTTACACATTGCCAGGTTTGTTGAGAAACGAATATTTCCCTCCCTCAGTTTTCCAAACATAACATCGTGCACACAGCATCATTTTCAAAAAAGTTTTCGTTTACATGAACCTGCATAAATACACCATCAAGCGCTGTCATCAAGCCTCTGGGTGACACCTGGATTAGATTCAAACCTGTAGCATTTATTTCATTACAGTTGTAAGTTTTACTCACAAATACCTTGAAAAACCTGCATTAGTGAGTGGGCTCGCCTCTCCACAGATCTGTTAAAGAAGTGTCAATACTGCTGACCTCTGAACCCACTGGTCTCTGGTCATGGATATGATTCATCAGCTGTGTGCAAATTGAAACACATGAAGTGTTTGCAAAAGAAGAAATGTGACTACTGCTCTGATGCTTCATCATCATCATCAGAGCAAAAGGGAAACACTGGTCGCACTTTTGGCGCGTCAGTTCCTAAAACTCAGTTTATCTCACTTTACACACAAACACCACACCGTAGTTTTCCAGAATGGGAGTTTTCACAGTTTGCATAAAAAAGATGGTACAAACAAAGGGAAATGGCTCTGTTTTTAAAAATACCCGTGTACATGTAAACAAGGCCTAACTCCACCATGTCACACCCAGAGGGAAATGTGATGAAGTGTCCGGCCCGGGAACACAACAACAGTATGCTCTTTTTGTGAGAATTGAAGCAACAACCTATCCCCACCTCCCTGTCAAATTCTTAAAGTGCATTCAACAGGTCAGACAACTCCATTCACTATCTCAAAAAAATGAAAAATTCTTGCACATAAATTGTTTCTGCATTTTGAAAGTGTCGATGATCTACTCACTGCTACTTCCTGTGTTATTGTATTTTTCTTTTCAATTTTTTTTTTCCCCCCACAAACTGACACTTAACTGATGTAAAACTATGATAAATAAGTACTATACCACTAAACCAAGTCATAATGAGAAAAAAATTAATTAAAAAAAAAAACCTTATGCACTTTCGCCTATGAAGACAAACTATATTCTAAGACTAGAAAGCATATCTATTTTAATATGTATTCTGTATCCAGCTCTTCTTGCTTGCGCCTCCTGCTGGTATGATTACACATAATTTTCCAAACTCTAAAAATGAGTCTTTTCATAGCGGGCACAGTGGGGATTGGACGTCTCGCTGCATACTCCAGGCAGGGGGCGCCGTTTTCAGCAAATTCTAACAGCTACGATCGAATTAAAATGGCATGTCCTGTGGTGTAAAGTGCTACTGTGAATTATACGAAGAATAAAGTACACATTTTTTCTTCTGTGGGGCTGGGTTTTTTATTAGCACAGTGTGGCTTTGTCTGATTATAAAGGAGAGTGATAAAGTTTGTTATATTTGTTAGATTTTCTTAAAGGCCATGTGACCCATTTGTTCTCTTGCATTTGATTGTTTGTCTCTTGCATGTAATTATTGTGTGAGTGTTTTATTGATAATCAGGATGTGTGTGTTAGCATGCTAGTTGTTACAGTGCTGCAAATCTCTGCTCTGGTCTCTGAAAGTTGTGAAAAGTGCTTATAAACCACTGCGAACTGTTTAAATGAACTAGCTCTTTTTTTTTTTTTTTTTTTTAAATCAGGAATAACAATAATAAAAGCTAGGTTATAGGAGTTAGGCGTTAGGAGATAGGAGGTAGAAGCTAGTATGTAGGAGCTGGGATATAGGAGATAGGATATGGGAGTTAGGAGATAGGAGATAAGAGCTAGGACATAGAAAGTAGGAGTTAGGAAACGTTAGAAGATAAGGGGATAGTAGATAGTAGGTAGTAGTTAGTAGTGAGGAGATAGGAGTTAGAAGATAGGAGTCAGGAGTTAGGACATAGGAGTTAATAAATAGGAGTTAGGAGTTAGGAGAGCAAGTGTTAGCAGTGTACCTCTCGCCTGCAGGCCTATCATAGGACATAGGATCTAGGAGCTAAGGCATAGGAGTTTGGAGGTAGGATATAGGAGGTAGGAGCTAGGACAGACCTGAGTATGGACTTCTGAGCTGCAGGCCTGGTCATAAGGATATAGGAGCTAGGATATCAGAGTTAGCAGATAGGAGTTAGGCCATAGGAGTTGGAAGTGTACCTCTGATCTGCAGGCCCAGTCATAGGACATAGGAGGTAGGAGCTAGGAGTTAGGACACAGGAGTTGGTACCTCGGCTCTGCAGGCCTGATCAAAGGATAAAGGAGCTAGTATATAGAAGGTAGGAGTTAGGACATAGGAGGTTGTACCTCAGGTCTGCAGGCCTGGTCATAGGATATAGGATATAAGATATAGGAGATAGGAGCTAGTACATAGGAGTTGGTACCTCAGGTCTGCAGGCCTGGTCATAGGATATAGGAGGTAGGAGCTAGGGGTTAGGACATATGGTATGAGTATGTACCTCAGGTCTGCAGGCCTGGCCATATGACATAGGAGCTAGAAGGCAAGAGTTAGGAGATAGACCTAAGTATGTACTTTTGGTCTGCAGGCCTGGTCATAGGATATAGGAGCTAGGATATAGGAATCAGGAGGCAAGAGTTAGGACATAGGAGTTGGTACTTTGGGTCTGCAGGCCTGGTCATAGGATATAGGAGGTAGGAGTTAGGACATAGAAGTGAGCATTTACCTCTTGACTGTAGGCCTGGTCATAGGACATAGGAGTTAGAAGATAGGAGTTACAGGAACTAGGACATAGGAGTTAGGACATAGGCGTTAGTATGTACCTCTGGTCTGCAGGACTGATCATAGGACATAGGAGGTAGGAGCTAGGAGTTAGGAGTTAGGACATAGAAGTTGGTACCTCGGGTCTGCAGGCCTGGTCATAGGATAAAGGAGCAAGGATATAGAAGGTAGGAGCTAGGACATAGGAGTTCGTACCTCGGGTCTGAAGGCCTGGTTATAGGATATAGGATATAGGAGCTAGGAGCTAGGAGCTAGTACATATGAGTTGGTACCACAGGTTTGGAGGCCTGGTCATAGGATATAGGAGGTTGGAGCTAGGACATAGGAGTTGGTATCTCTGGTCTACAGGCCTGGTCATAGGATATAGGAGCTAGGATATAGGAATCAGTAAGTAAGAGTTAGGACATAGGAGTTGGTACCTTGGGTCTGCAGGCCTGGTCATAGGGTATAGGAGGTAGGAGTTAGGGGTTACAGGAATTAGGACACAGGAGTAAGGACATTGGAGTTAGGACACTGGAGTTAGGACATTGGAGTTAACATGTACCTCTGGTCTGCAGGCCTGGTCATAGGATATAGGAGCTAGGAACTAGGGGTTAGGACATAGGAGTTGGTACCTCTGGTCTGCAGGCCTGGTCATAGGCTATAGGAGGTAGGAGTTAGCACATAGGAGTGAGCATTTTCCTCTTGACTGTAGGCCTGGTCATAGGACATAGGAGTTAGAAGATAGGAGTTACAGGAACTAGGACATAGGAGTTCGGACGCAGGAGTTAACATGTACCTCTGGTCTGCAGGCCTGGTCATAGGGTATAGGAGCTAGGAGTTAGGACATAGGCGTTAGTATGTACCTCTAGTCTACAGGACTGATCATAGGATATAGGAGGTAGGAACTAGGGGTTAGGACACAGGAGTTGGTACCTTTGGTCTGCAGGCCTGGTCATAGGATATAGGAGCTAGGATATAGGAGGCAGGACCTAGGACATAGGAGTTGGTACCTCGGCTCTGCAGGCCTGATTATAGGATGTAGGAGGTAGGAGATAGGAGTTAGAACATAGGAGTTGGTACCTCTGGTTTGCAGGCCTGGTCATAGGATATAGGAGGTAGGAGCTAGGAGTTAGGACATAGGCATTAGCATGTACCTCTGGTCTGCAGGCCTGGTCAAAGGATATAGGATATAGGATATAGGATAAGGATATAGGATATAGGATATAGGATATAGGAGGTAGGAGTTAGGGCATAGCCGTTAGTATGTACCTCTGGTCTGCAGGCCTGGTCATAGGATATAGGACATAGGATATAGGAGGTAGGAGTTAGGAGTTAGGACATGGGCGTTAGTATGTACCTCTGGTCTGCAGGCCTGGTCATAGGATATAGGACATAGGATATAGGAGCTAGGACTTAGGAGTTAGGGCACAGGTGTTAGTATGTACCTCTGGTCTGTAGGCCTGGTCATAGGATATAGGATATAGGAGGTAGGAGTTAGGAGTTAGGACATGGGCGTTAGTATGTACCTCTGGTCTGCTTTGCTGTGGCTGCCCCCAAGTTATGGAACAATCTGCCTCTCCACGTTCGAGCTGCTCCATCACTGGAGATTTTTAAATCTGATCTTAAGACACATTTCTTTGCTGCGGCTTTTAACTCTAATTAAATGTTTTATAAGCTATGTTTAATTTTTTTTTGTTTTGTTTGTTTGTTTTATTATTATATAGATATATTTTTCATATTTATTGTGCTGTATTTTACTATCTTTATTGTGCATGTGAAGCACTTTGGGCAGCTTGTGTTGTTGTAAATGTGCTATACAAATAAAGTTGACATTGACATTGACATTGCAGGCCTGGTCATAGGATATAGGATATAGGAGGTAGGAGTTAGGCGTCAGTATGTACCTCTGGTCTGCAGGCCTGGTCATAGGATATAGGATATAGGAGGTAGGAGCTAGGAGTTAGGACATGGGCGTTAGTATGTACCTCTGGTCTGCAGGCCTGGTCATAGGATATAGGATATAGGATATAGGATATAGGATATAGGAGGTAGGAGTTAGGAGTTAGGACATAGGCGTTAGTATGTACCTCTGGTCTGCAGGCCTGGTCATAGGATATAGGATATAGGAGGTAGGTAGGAGTTAGGACATGGGCGTTAGTATGTACCTCTGGTCTGCAGGCCTGGTCATAGGATATAGGATATAGGAGGTAGGAGGTAGGAGTTAGGACATGGGCGTTAGTATGTACCTCTGGTCTGCAGGCCTGGTCATAGGATATAGGATATAGATATAGGATATAGGATACAGGAGATAGGAGCTAGGAGTTAGGATATAGGCGTTAGTATGTACCTCTGGTCTGCAGGCCTGGTCCACAGCCCTCCTGAGCGTTGGGGATGTCCTGGCGGAGCAGCCATGGCACCAGCTGACACTTCCTCCATTTGTGAGTCTTCCACCTGTGACAACACCAGACACAACAACAATCACGACAGGAGACTTTAAGGTGACACACTTTCAGGAGACTTTAAAGGTGGAACAACATTTTCACAATCTGCATCTCACAGTACGATATTTATGGTGATACTTTGTGGAGATTAAACAAATTGTAAATATGCAACTTTTCCTTTTAAAACGCCTTGAAATACCTTAGGACATGTCATAACACAAAGAATTAGGATTTCAAAGTGCTTAATAACATTATTTCTTCATGTAGGCTGCACTGAAACAGCAAAGGATCATGGTCTATGTAGTTCCCTCTGTTTTGTTGTGTCCATGGAGATGTTTGTGCTTTCCCTTTTTCCAGTTTTTATTGCAAAAAGAATAGTTGGCCCGGTGCTGTCCCCTGCTTTAATGCCATACTGTGTAACATTATTTTAGAAGACCACACACCATCACCATTTCTGCTCTTTTCTGCAGCATGGTCTTGATTCAGATTTCTGCCAATAAGATTTATTTTATTTTAAGCATCCGAAAATATAAAAAAGATGAAAAAATAGATCTGCATAAATCCTTCACAAATGTGTCTTGACAATTATAATTTTAAGGAGACATATTGTGCTTGCGTCTGCTATAGTTAGAATCTACGACACTCATGGATCATTCTGTTATAATCTGAACATTTTAAAGCACAGTATTCATCTAAAACGACTTCATAAAACAAACAAGTCCACTGATTTCTGAGTTAGAAAACTATGGTGCACAAAGGAAGCTGAAGTCACGTCAACACAACACAGAGTCCACAACTCCTAACAGAGATAGAGATAGAGAGAGAGATAGATAGATAGATAGAGATAGATAGATAGATAGAGAGAGAGAGAGATAGATAGATAGAGATAGAGAGATAGATAGAGATAGATAGAGATAGATAGATAGATAGATAGATAGATAGATAGATAGATAGATAGATAGATAGATAGATAGATAGATACAGATAGAGATAGATAGATAGATAGATAGATAGATAGATAGATAGATAGATAGATAGATAGATAGATAGATAGAGATAGATAGATAGATAGATAGATAGATAGATAGATAGATAGATAGATAGATAGATAGATAGATAGATAGATAGATAGATAGATAGATAGATAGATAGATAGATAGATAGAGAGATAGATAGATAGATAGATAGATAGATAGATAGATAGATAGATAGATAGATAGATAGATAGATAGATAGATAGATAGATAGATAGATAGATAGAGATAGATAGACAGAGAGACAGATAGATAGATAGATAGATAGATAGATAGATAGATAGATAGATAGATTTTATTTGCACAAATATTAAAAACAACATTTTGAACAGATAAAAAGCAGATATGACTGTGCAGGAGAGAATGAGAAGACCTTATTGGTCTTGTAAGATCATCTCCCCTATAAACATGCTTTTATCACAACAGCCATGAACAGGCAAGTTGACTATCAGTAGTCCAAATATTAAACAGCGTCACAAATCAATGATTGTCTTAACTGTCTTTTAAAATAGTCCAGTGAGGAAATTGATTTGAGAGTATTTGCTAAATGATTCCAGAGGGTCGGCCCTCTGAACTTGAGTGTTCTTTGATTCATGGAAGTTCTGCACAAGGGAAGATAAAAGTACATGAAAAAGTTGTCAAAAGATCTGTGTAAGATATTTGACAAATGCACATATTTATACATGAACAGACAAATACAATATATGTTTACATTCAATATTGTCAGAATGTTGTATTTTCTGAAGCAAATGAGGACAATCTGTGTGAATAATTCAGAATTCTTAAAAATGTTTTTTGTATTAATAAAATCTTGTTAAGATAAGTCTTACATGTAGAACCCCAACCAGCTGAACATCACACAAGTGAGCAGCGGATTTCTTTTCATTTGTACCAAAATGACTACGCAACACTGCCAAATTTTCCGCTACATACTTAGAATGTATTATTACCATTTATATTTTTAATTCTCTTATTATAATACATTGTGAGCTTCTGTGTCCAAACTATTTCTTTGTTGATCAATAAAGTTTGTCTGAGGCTAAGAATTCTACATTTATTGTTGATTAAGAAACTAAAATTGGAGAATGAAGCGTGTACATCACAGTGGCAAAATGGCATCTTGAAAATAAGAAATTAAAGGTTATGCCGGGTTTACACTGTGTGATTGGGCCGGGTTTTGGCTTTATCGTGTGTCGTGCTTCGTGTAGTAACGAGAACCGATTAATACCTCACGACCAGCTCCTGATCTGCAATCACAGGTCGCAAGAATGTCAAAGCTGTTTGAAAGCCAGTGGCCTCTCGAAAAGGTTTCGCACTGTTCAAGTACAGCGGTCCCTTGTTTATCGCGGGGGTTATGTTCTAAAAATAACCTGCAATAGGCAAAATCTGCGACGTTTTAAGGCTGTAAAACCCCTCACCACACACTTTATACACTTTTCTCACACAGGACAGTTACAACCCTTTTTGCATCCTTCTTAAAACCTATTGTTGCTGTCGTCCTAATGTTTTTTTCCTAACTTCTCCCTTCCTTCAGCATGTCCAGAAGTCCAACTTTTTGTGCGATGGTTTGCGTCTTCCTCTGCCTTTTGGATGCGAGCGCAGGAGCCTTTGTCGGTGCTCCTATATTTATATTTGTTAGATTTTCTTAAAGGCCATGTGACACATTTGTCCTCTTGCATTTGAGCGTTTGTCTCTGTGTGCTGTTTGCATGTAATTATAGAGTGTTTTATTGGTGATCAGGACGTGCGTGTTAGCATGCTAGTTGTTACAGTGCCACAAAACTCTGCTCTGGTCTCTGGAAGTTATGAAAAGTGCTTATAAACTCATCATAGTGAGTAATTAGGAGAAATAACTCTGGACCACTGCAAACTGTTTAAAATGAAGGTCTGTTTTTTTTTTTTTTTATCAGGAATAATAATAATAAAAGCTAGGATATAGGAGTTAAAAGAGAGGAGGTAGGAGCTAGGATATAGGAGTTGGGAGACAGAAGTTAGGCGTTAGGTGATAGGAGACAGAAGATAGGAGGTAGAAGCAAGTATATAGGAGCTGGGATATAGGAGTTAGGAGATAGGATATGTGAGTTAGGAGTTAGGAGATAAGAGCTAGGACATAGAAAGTAGGAGTTAGGAAACATTAGAAGATAAGGGGATAATAGATAGTAGATAGGTTGTAGTTAGTAGTGAGGAGATAGGAGTCAGGAGTTAGGACATAGGAGTTAGTGGATAGGAGTTAGGAGAGCAAGTGTTAGCATTGTACCTCTCGCCTGCAGGCCTATCATAAGACATAGGAGCTAGGAGCTAAGGCATAGGAGTTTGGAGGTAGGATATAGGTGGTAGGAGCTAGGACAGATCTGAGTATGGACTAGCTCTGTTGTTTTTTTGTCGATATTGTGGGTTTTGTTGGGGAGAAAACTTGCAAACATACAGAACTTCAGAATCACACTGCTAGAGATCAAATATTTATGTAAATTTGGCAAACTGAACACATTCTGTATTGTACAGGAGACGCGGCGCAGAGAGTCTACAGTCCCTTAGCCAATCAGGACGCAGGGGAGGAACGCAATGTACATTCATACACTGTAAAAAAAATAAAATAATTACACAAAATAGCACAAAAAAAATTCCACGAAAACAGCAAGGCCGTGAAAGGTGAACTGTGTTATAGTGAGGGATGTCTGTAGTTCGTACAGTGTGAGAACATGAATCTTGAGCTGTGAACTTTTAAACCCTGTGATTTGGTCGTACAGTTTGAGTTTGGGCCGAGTGAAATGATTGAAAATATCACACAGTGTACGTCCGGCATAACTCTAACACGCACCCATCACTCCAAATACAACTTCGAGTGAGTAAATGGTGAGGGGGAAAAACTATAACATGGTTAAACGTTCCAAAAAGTGGATTTTGCATAATAGGTCCACCTTAAGAGGAAATTTAAAGGCACACTATGTAACAGTTGGGTCCGGTCAAGTGGTAACGGAGGGAAACAGGGGCAGATTTTTGACATTCAAATAGCTCTTATTCAGAAACTAGAGGGACTATTGAAATAAGTAAAGTATCAGAATGTAGGAAAGAGTTACACTCCAACAGGGTCAAGTTAAACCTGTGATATTCTTTCAAGTTGTTGACAAAAAATTTAAAAACTCATGTCGGTAAAGGAGGGAATGAAATATGCAGCACTTTTTGGGCAATAAATCCAAACAGTGATAACTCTTGGTTCTCACTTCCATATCCTTAACAAACTGGTTTGAATATTTGCTTCATATAGTTTTCTACCATATGGTACAAGATTAGGTTGAAAAACCTCTTACTTTTTGAGTAATGAGATTTTTTATTAAGAAAGTTCATGGTAATGGAGGGAAAAGTAACGGAGGGAAAATTGTATAAACAAGTAGAAGGTGCATGATTTTACATAATTTGTCGCTTTTTTCTTCCGAATACTTTAATATTACTTCAAAATGAAAGAAATTATTTCTATAAAATATGTCAGTCCTTCCAAGCTAATTTTTATCATTTTAAATACTTTTTTTTTTTGGAAAAATCATGTACCTTCATCAACAGTTCAAAGATGGAATAACACAAGATATGGTGAAATACATCCATTTATTTACATGATTTTTGGGTCTTTGAAATTTGGGAAATAATTTTTGTTCCATGTTTCATACATGGTCTGTTTAAAACATATGGAACTTTAGAACCAAAAATGGTACAGAAAAAAGGTCAACAGTTTCATAAACTAGAGTACATATGTATCTGTTCAATACATTTTTATATCAGATGCATTAACTTGAATTTTTGGCCTTGTTGTTTACTTCTGCTTCACCGGGTCCATTTCTATTAGGGGATCTGCTACCTGCTTCTCTCTATGGAGATGTTACAGTTTTACCTGACATACTCCACAATATGGCACAATTTGTCTATCTTGAGCTTGGTCATAATCAACAGCTATGACCTGTAACCTGGCTTGTCTCCATGGTGACAAGTTTAATGACACACTGTAAACACCCCAGAAACGTCTCATACTGTAGTTAATTTTTAATACAGTATTGTTTATCCATATTGACACTTGGGAATTCCTAAAAAACTAAAAGTTCAAATAGTTGCCAAATATTTATAAGACTGTGTTGTGTAAAAATAGCGTTCCCTCTGGGGCACGGGGCTGTTTTGACTCTTCTCTGCTGTTATCAAAAGTGCAGCACATTTGAATACAAAGCACAGGACTTATTATTTCAGTCACAGTTATTAAAGTTTTGAAATAAGACTTTATTTACAGAGAGATATGAATCAGGAAGTGGCGAAAACATTACGGCAGCTGGAGATGGCTTTTGATAAGAAGCTTTCAATAAAACTATAAACATCGCCCTATATTTATTACTGTGCTGGGAGTCAAACGGTCTTGCCAGTTAGCAGAATGACTTCAGCTACTGATAATGTGTACTGAAGATGTGTCCTTAGGCAAGACACTTTACTAACTTCCAGTATCAGTCAATCAATATCACTTTATTTGTCCCAGAGGGGAAATTTTAAAACCCTGTGCGATGAAATGCAATAATAATAGAAAAACTCAAATAAAAAGAGTCATCAGATCCAGTGTCAGGTCAGTTTGAGGTGAGTAACAGCCCTCAGGACAAAAGTGCCCCTCCTCTGTGTCCTGTAGAATCACAGCAGCCTACAGGGGGCGCCAGGTGAACTCCAAACTAGAGGTCTGCGCAGGACAGAATTTTCAGTCCTGCTTCTGCACTGTGCAGTCTCGGTCCTGCCCACTCCCGCTAAGAATTGTAATTTTCAGTCCCGCTCCCGCCCACATCTGCGATATTTTGTCCCGCGCCTGACCACAAGTCCCGCAGGATGGGAACCTTTGCTTTCTTAAGCTCTATCAAACATGGAGAAGTGAAAGGAATTGGGCTGCGTATTGGAGGAGGTGCTGTGAGCGGTCTGGTGGCAAAGTTAAATCCTGGTTAAATCCTGTTTTAGTCCTGGTTTTAGACCTGTTTTTAGACCTGCTTTTAGAACTGGTTTATTTCTGGTTTAGTGGCACAGCCCGTGCGACGTATGGAAGGAGAGACTGTCAGCGTGGCATACGGGACCGGGGGACGCTCTGTGCGGTGTACTGGACGGGTGGGTCTGTCCGCACAGCATACAGGGCTGAGGGACTCTGGGGGGACATCCACTCCACAAAACTGTGCTATTAATCCAGTTTGAGGCATTCTTTAAAAGTAAAAAGGCAAGAGTAGTTCCTCACCTTTACATCCACAGAGTAACGGATTCCTGTGAACTTTATCGACAATCTTTTATGCTGTAAAAATCCTGTATATGAAGTCAAATCCTGTATCTGTATCCACATTTCACAAATAATAATACCGTAAATTCCGGACTATAAGCCGCTACTTTTTTCTCACACTTTGAACCCTACAGTGAATAAAACGATGTGGCTCATACATAGACGGACTATTTGTTTGGCACATTGTTCATTCATATATACAGTCTATAGTTTGGCAACACAGCGGATACGCGCAAACGTCGCTGTCTGTGCGGTTACACATGGATCTAGGGTTAACATGAAGCTGCTACACTAACTAGAGATGTTGTCAGATCACTCAAATATCGCTGTGTGATCAAATAAGTTATGATGCTAAATGAACGTTTGTGAGGGGGATACGTCTTACCCGTATGCGTAAATGACAAGAAGAAACATCTCAAACTTCAGTAGCCGGACATCCACTCATACCTGTCTGACAGAACTAGCCCCCGCCCCCGAGAGAGTCTGAAATCTGCTGAAATCCTCCAAGACAATGACATGATCCAGACAGGACAGAGACTCTTTCTGCAGGAGACATGTGCAGTAGAGCACGGGGAGAGACAGGGTCATGTGCTGAGGAAGATGCTCGTTTGATTGTGTTTTGAACAGTTATTTTGCGCTTCTACACACACCCTCCTCATGGAAAACACATGAAAAAATGCAGATGATGCAGCGTTTAAGTTAAAGGTGATTGATGTGGCTGTTGAAGAAGGAAACAGAGCCACTGCACGTGAACTCGGCATCAGTGAGTCGATGGTGAGATTTTGGCAACGGCAACGCGACGAACTGACTCAATGCAAAAAGGCGACAAAAGCTTTCAAAGGCGATAAAAGCAGACGGCCCGAACTTGCAAAAGTTCTTGAAGATGTGGACACCTGCGGCTTATATTTAAATGCGGCCTGTATATGTACAATTTTTAAATGTTGTTAAAATTTTGTTGATGCGGCGTATATTCAGGTGTGCTCAATAGTCCGGAATTTATGTATCCAAACTAGAAGTGCAGAGCTCTGATCTTTTGAACACTTAAGAGTCTCAAAGTGAGTGGTTTTACTGAAGACAGGAAACTGCTGACAAGGTGCACTCACAACTTTACATCCTGTGGTTTGCAGACGTATCCCACTGCAGTCTTTGCGATCAGAGATTTTAAGTCTCATAAGATTGTTGCACTTTAAAAATCATTTAAGACTGAAAAATCTTGTACCGTGTAGCGGCCTTAAATCACATAATCCAAAGTAGTTAACTTCCATCTTTGATCTGCCCACGCTGCACGTCTTAGTTGTTAAAAATCCCAAAATGTTCAATTAAAAATGTAAAATAAAAATAGAAAACGCTTAAAAACTGCTCAGTGTGCTAGCCAGTCAGCCACAAGAGCAGCCAACTACAACTCTAATCTGCATACAAGGAACTACAACTGAATTGAATATCAAAAATGTAAAATGTAAAGTCTGATTTACATAAGAAACTGACAGGAGAGGCATTCAACTGCAAGAGGTAAAAACAGCCAGAGAAATATTAGACGTATATTTGGATGTGTATTGACTTTTTTTTTTTTTAAATCAGCAGTGATGGCACAAACTATAGTCCCTGCTCTCCGAACCAGTACATGATGTGTCTTTGTTTTGTCCGCTACGTGAAAGTGAAAGCAAAACCGATCAGAGCTTCATTGTGTTTATTTGTGCAGCAAAGTAAATGAGAGTTCACTTATGTATATCGGACAAAAGTGTAGTTATGTCGTTTTTGTTAGCAATCTGGCTCTAGCTGCAAGGTTTAAGTGCTACTACTAAATTACTAAACGCACTTGAACGCCTCATAGATTTAATTTGCACCTATTCAGTTTGACCTGCTGTAGACTGGGACAACAGGGTCTGAGATGATTTGAATTTGATGTTACCTGAAGCCGGGGCAGGATTTGGGCGGCTCACAGTCCCTCTGCTCCTCCAGGACCTCGGGACACTCCAGACCTCCGTTTGCGGGCTGCTGCAGAACCAGCCTCCTGCGACTCTGCTTACTGCTCACCGCACCGCCAGCTGAAACCACATGTGCACATCGTCAGACAAACGTAATATTCAAGTACAGGCAATGATACTTCAGAGTAATATTATTCAAATAGAAGTACAAAGGTTAGGCTCCGCACCGCCAGCTGGAACCAAATACACATATTATCAGACACAAATGTATTCAAGTAACACTGCGCACCACACCGCCAGCTGAAATCACACACACATCAGATGAAGATTATATTTAAGTGAGAGGACATAACTTTAAGGCAATACCCAGAGGAAAGAAAATCCAAAGAGGAGCCCTACTCTCCATGACAAACTGGTCCACAACTACAAGCCACCTGCACCTAAACACACTGTATGTGGCTTGGACCTCGACCAACAGGTTCTTTTGAGTGTAACAGCTGTCCCCACTGCACCAACATACGTCAAACCAAGTCATTTCTGGACTATCATTCACAAAAAAAATAAACAATAAAACACTTTATCAGTTGCAAAACAACATTTGTAATTTACAGACTTGTTTGCCTTACTTGCAGCCCATCTAATCTGCAGGCACAAATAATTGATCATATACCAGACTCTTTGCGAAAAGGAAACCGGATTGTAAAACTCAAACAGTGTGAAACCTACTGGATTTATAAATTACAGGCAACAAAATATCCTGGGCTCAATGACGATTTGGACTTCTCTGTGTTTTTATAACTGAATGGTATTTTTTGTATATATTTTGTAAATAATGAGTTTGTATATACCCCATGATGTCCCACTGTTCTAACACTGCCATCTTGTGGTGTTATTAGGTGGTGTCCACAGGTGAATCTCCACTCCTCTTCTTCCAGGTGGAGCAGCCCTACTGGTGTTTTTTTTTTTTTTTTTTTTTAATTCACATGGTTTGCTCTCAATTCTGAAAGCCATAGGCTGAAACGTGTCTGGACTTTGTAAGTTGTCCATTAAGACATGCCGTAAATTAATAAAGGCATTTTATTTTGACCAGTGAGTGCCTTGGGTTTTTTGCATCTTTTTAATCCAAAGAGGAGATTTCAATAAAATGTTCTGTCTTTCTCCTAGAGCATTTTGAGCATTGTTTAAGACCAGTGTGAGCAAATGACTTATTGTTGTTTCTCATGTTTTGCTCCAGAGAAACAGGCCGCTGAAGTGCTCAGGTTAGACTCCTCTGTAGACACGAAGGAGATCTCTATTTGGCCTTAACTAAACCTCAAACTTTATTCTTCTCTTCACAATAACCTCAGACTAGGCTCCATGTCGTACTTCTCATGTGCTGCTCAACTTGAACTAGGACAAACTTTAAGCCCATCGTTTGTCAGTGTGGGTTTGGTGTGTTTGGACTTGTGTCTCTGAACAGCTCAGCTCTGCAGTTTTCAGAGCGACTGAAGAACAGGTCTGTCAGGAGCTCAACAAAACATCTCCCAATATCAACAGTAGACTCATTTAAATACTTCTACTGGTTATCTTTTGCTTGGTTTAACCATTTTGAATGTGCATTTAATTCAATGATAATGCTTGTTTAATTAGTGAGCTAATCATGCTAGTGCGAGAATCATTCTCTGTGTTTTTAATGTTTCCTTCATGTTAATTCACCATGCAATATAGAAGTTACTCAGTGTCCCTTGACATGATGCGTTATGTCTGGACTTTGAAGTGTCAATGATGTTGTTTTGGACTTTGTGAGGTATATGAGACAGAAAAGGGGAGGGTCTGAACCCTTTAACATATGCCAATCCATGATAACATGTACAGGGTCAACATTACTGTAAACTTTCCTGCTGTACACTCTAAATTAGGCGTGCTCAATACGTGGATCGCGATCTACCAGTCGATCGCCAAGGTCGTGTGGGTAGATCGCCGTGTCTCGTCTCGGACTCGCGTTTGGACTCGGTCTTGTCTCTCACTCAAGGTTCCGAAACATCCTACCTGTCCATCTGCCTCACGTCAGCACGCCGCCCCTCGCCTTTTCACGCTCTCGCTCCTTCCTGCGTACAGCGAACACAAGCCCCTCCCACAGTGCGGCTGATTAGAAGAGCAAGACCAAACGTGAAGCAAAAACCAGTCTAAATTTGTGTTCCAGTGTTGGCACAAAGCAGGTCTACAACATAGAGCAGATCTACAGAACAGACCTACTGCCACATTTGGCTGAAGTTTGTCTAACAAAAGTGCACAAATGCATCTGTGTTTGTCACAATGTGCATTTGGTTTGGTAAACGTGCAGAGGCTGGTAAATATCACTGCAAAACCAGAAAAGAATGCAACTCCAGTTTGGAACTTTAAAAAACAGGTTTAAAAATCTTCCTTCACTTTTTTTTATAGTTTTATGTAAAGTGCCAGAGGAAGTTCTCTTAAAGAAGAGGTTCTCAAACTGTGGGTGAGGGTCAAAAAAAGGGGCACAGAGTGTTTCAGTGCAGTTTGCTTGGCTTTGTATTGGGTAGATCATTCTGACTCGGTCATTTTGTAAGTAGCTCACATGCTGAAAAAGTGTGAGCACTCCTGCTCTAAATCAACAAGTTTATATTTGACAAGATGGTCGAGTATAAAGGTAAATGCTCTGCTGTACGGAGGGGGGAGGGGCGTGGAGAGATGCTTGTGGCTGAATCATGTAATCAACTTGAATCAGAGACCTGTACCTGCTTGAGCCAATAAAGAGACATGTCTGTGAACAGCTTTAACTCTCCTAGACTCTCTTTAAGACTCTTCTCAGGCAGCTTCCAGAAGAAAACTGACATTAGCACTTGCTCAGATGCAGATGTCTTCATTTCATCTAGTGGCTATTGGACAAACTACATCATTTAGAATCACCTCAAGAATGCACTTGCACTCACACTGCACATTTCTCTTTGTGGCTCGCAGCTAGTGTTAGGATAAATAACTAGGCTTAGGTGATGTACAACTACTGCGGTGATTTAACTGATGTGCTTCTATACAGTTATTGATGTACTGCTATATTTTATTATTGTACTATTAGAATTCACTATACAATGACCCAGAAAACAGGGACTAGATTACAGCTGAGGGATGCAGAGATAGTTTCAGTTCATGTACAAGATATTCTATTTCTATCTATATGTCTAATCAATTAACTAAATAGGGCAAGGACTTATTGATAGGGATATGCAGACTCATGACTCATCACCCTGATCAAAGCAGCAAGACGCTCCTGTAAGAGGAGTGAGATGAATCTAGGGAGATTCTTGTCACAATCAGTTAAGATTGTGCAACATGCCAAGAGGCCTGGCTGACCTGTGCACCAACGAAGAGGCACTAAGTCTAAACCATGGTCGCCTCCCACTACAGTTTGCATATAAAAATCATTGTATAGGTGTTGAAGGCTGTATCAAGTGGTGAAGTTTCTTGAGTGCACCATATTGGTTTGAATATTGTTTAATGAAGTTATGCATTGAGTTGAACATTGTTTAATGTTTAAAGGTAATAATCTGTGTAAATAAATAATGGCTAACCTATGTACTTTTAAGGAAATTCCTTTGCAGAACTGGGACTTCGGAGATCACCTGGGCTGGCTTATCTAAACAGACATGGTGGTGATTTACAATGGTTTGGTGGGGGTTGTCACTTCCTCCAAAGAAGACAGAAATAAAGATGCTTCAAGGACAATTCAAGGCGTAACCTGCTCAACATATTATTTGCATATTCATACTGTTGTTTTATATCTCAGGGGTTCAGATCGCCTGATGTAAGTCCTGTGTAGCTGTAGGTCATCAGGGGTAGCGATTTGACCCAGAGCTCTAGAATTAGAATTGTATTGGCAGGGGAATACATTTTTTTGTGATTTAAATTGATTGAGTCTAGTCATTTTTGATAGAACACGCCTAACAGTGTAAATATTCAGTCTCTGCATGGGAATATCAGCACAGACTCCTTGTCCAAGTATGACTTTTCTAATATTGGAATAAGTAAATTATCTGGACTATTTCTGTTTGAAGCGTAATTTTGTCTAAGCAGAAACTAACGAACACGCGAGGAAAAGGGTGTTTTCCTCAACACTAGCGAGGTTCAAGCTAACAATGCTAACAACAATGCTAGCACTAGCATTGTTGTTAGCATTGTTAGCTTGAAGCCATTTCAGAGCCTCACTTGATTTAACTGAAGTCTGGGACAGAAAATGCTATGGTGTGTGCTTCAGGTTCAGTGTGTTGAATTAGAGATTAGAGTACATACTAGACCAGGGGTCAGCAACCCAAAATGTTCAAAGAGCCATATTGGCCCAAAAAAACAAAAACCAGACCTGCCTGGAGCCGCACAAAATGAAAAGCCTTATATAAGCCTAATATGAAGGCAACACAGGCTGTCAGTATATTAACTGTATAAGCCGACTATTAAAATGACTAAGTCGGCTACAAATACAAAATGAGCTTTCATGATTTCACAAACCCCTTTTGCGACCCTCTCATACTCGCTGCGCCGTCTGTAGCCACTGAAATCAGGTGGTTAGTGTTTATTCCTTTGTCATTTAGGCCCCGTTTACACGTACACGGGTATTTTTAAAAACGGAGACATTTCCCTTCGTTTGTTCACATCGTTTACACGCAAACGGTGAATTCGCCTCTGAAAACGAATCTTTCTAAAAACTCCGGCTAGAGTGGAGATTTTGGAAAACTCCGGTTTCACGTTTGCATGTAAACTGAGATAAATGGAGTTTTAGGAGCTGTGCGACCGACGTTTACCTGTTTACCTGAGCAAAGAACTGGGTCCGAGTGCTTCAGTGCAGTCATCTGTGCGCTGGGTGCTAAAGAGCCGCATGTGGCTCTGGAGCCGCGGGTTGCCGACCCCTGTACTAGAGCATGTGGAAACTCAAATAGAAATGACACTAGGGTGACCATATTTCCATTTGTGAAAACCCGGACACCTTACTCGCTGATTTTTATTTATTTATTTTTTCCTTTTTCTTTCTTTCTTTTCTTTTTTTTTTGTGTGTGTGTGTGTGTGTCAATTTTGCATGTTTTTTTTTTTTTTTTTTTTTTTTACATGGGTGGGTCAGGACTAAACCAGGTCTA